TCTGTGATTGACTCAGTCCTACCAAATACTGGATTAGACGATCATGTGTTTTACCATCAACCTTTCAAATTAAAAACACACTTTTTATTGAAAAGCAATGATCAAAACATGATATTGCTCGGGCTGGTGTTCTATTAAATTACAGACAGCCTATCTGCACATTCAAATTATTTCTGTTTCCTCATATAAGCCGAAGAAATTACTAATTCATACTTACAGTCCAGAACTGAATGAAACACTGCAAGTCGGTGGCAGTGACGAAGAGGCAATACAACAAAGAATATGCTAGGAAGAGCATGAAAAACTTGTAGTTGGCGAAGCCCACGCAATTGTTTACCCTGTCAAAGAAGATAAAAAGCATTTGGATATTAATATCTATTTTGATTGAAAAATACTGCCCAATATACACTGGAACAAGGGAAAATGTGCAGTTGTTACCTTTCTTGACCCTAATGTTTTCTGTAAAATGTAGTGTAATCAGATTGATTCAGTACATTTAAATAATAATTTTGACTTAAAACATTTTTATAGTATTGCCTATTTACTAGCTACACAATGTAACTTTTGCCCGTCTTGCAGTTGAAGCATAACATTTATAAACACTAAAATGTACTATTTATTTATACATTTTAATTTGTTTATTATGGTAACAATGACGTATGATTTTGTTTGAATATGATGTGATTTGTACAGAAACGTACAATTTTTTGAAAACAAAAAAATGCAAGCATGAAGGTTCACCTCTAAACTGTCAGTGGGGCCTAAGCAGATCATACAAACACAAAATGTTTATATTTCAAGCAAAAATGCAACAGTGTATCTTTAAATGACAAAACTGAATATTGTTTATTGAAGAAGAAAAAAAAGGATTGTATTCTTGGTCTAATAGAAACCCAGAAATGTTTGGTGCATGTGCTCCTTCCGAGACAAAAACCTTTTTATTCTTGCTTTGCATTTAATCTACTGAGCCAGTACATACCATGGACAATGGTGATCCATCTTTAAAAGGCACCTGTAAAACAGCAGAGGGAGGAGCTGGTAAAATACAACACAGCAAAATCTAATATGTGCTGTGTCTTTAAAAAAAAAAAAGAGAAAAGACATACATATCACAGGCAGAGCAATGATGACATCGATCAGGCTTCAGCAGCAGACAGCGATCACAGTAGCGGATAGCTGTATCAAGACAGCTTGTTAAAACACAGATCGATAGGATTCACTGAAGACTGAAGACAGATTGAAACAAATGCAATTGTCTGTGGCCATTATTTGTTACTGAACCTAAATCTGGGCTGAATGGACTGTTACAAACTTGGCCTGCTAACCGTGGCACAATTAGGAAGTGCTGAACTTAAAGAAAAGTGCCCACCTCCAGATATTGTGCGTGTGTAAATGGGCAAATCCTTAGCAATTCTCCTCAAGATCTCTTGTTGAGATTCTCTCCGATCTTCACGCTCTAATAGCTCTTTGTCAGAATGTGACAGGTGGAACTGAAAGGAACAGACGAAAAGCAAAACATTTTGATATGATCTGTGTGACAAGCAGCACGCTCTGCACTCAGAGATGTGAGAGGAGTACGACTGATTGCCAGTATGAGCCATATGTGGTTTCTCTATTTCAGTTTGTTTCTCATTCTCTCGGCTTGAAATAATAACCGCTTGCAGTGAGGTGCTATAGTTACAGTAACAATCGCATGCAATTCACAACGCAACATGCTGTTTTTTTCAATATGTGTAACCAACGACTCATCCTAATGGGAGTTATACCATATATTTACAAATATTACATAGTAATCTCTGCCTGCAGGAAATAATATCCATTATAAGCCAACACCTCATAAATCATGCTGAGTATATGCTGTGCAATAACATTTAAATAGATTTCTTACTTGGAGACGACCACAGTCTAGTCTTTTCAGGTGTCTTCTATTCATTCCTCATAATGTTTACTATGAAATGAATATCTATTAATAAATAACTTATTTCCGTAATTAAAAATACTCACCTCTTTGAGTGGGTTCATAGGTTTTGTGAAGATGGTTTGCCAGTATGACCACACGAACATGATGAAAAGCACATGATATACCAGGACGTAAACTACTGTGATACAAAAAATATATATATTGAAAGGAAAATAGAGAGATATCATAATTATAACATTTCTGACAACATATGCCTTTTTAAAATATTTTTTTAAATTTTAATAACATTTAAATCATTAAAGCTTCACTATTATTATTATTATTATTATTATTGCTTAAGATTGTGATGAAGGATTATTAAACTTCTTAAACTTTGGTATACAATTTTCAGCAGGCAAATAATAATTTAAACACACACACACACACACACACACACACACTCACACACACACACACACACACACACACACACGAAAATATGGGTGAAAATATCCCATTGACTTACACTACTGTTCAAAGGTTTGGGGTCAGTAAGAGTTTTTTACATGTTTTTGGAAGTTTCTTATGCTCACCAAAACTGCATTTATTTGATCAAAAATATGGTAAAACAGTAATATTGTGAAATTGTGATTTAAAATGTCATTTATTCCTGTGGTGGCAAAGCTGAATTTTCAGCATCCTGTCTTCAATGTCACACGATCCTTCAGAAATCATTATAATATGCTGATTTGCTGCTCAAGAAACAATTCTGAGTATTATCAATGTTGAAAATGGTTGCGCAGCTTCCTTGCTGCATAAAAGTTTTTTTTTTAACAAAAAAAATCTTACTGACTTCAAACCTTTGAATGGTAGCCTACATTAAAAGACCCACTTACATTTTCTTTAGAAAATGCACAAATCATTTCCAACAAGTAAAAACACTGTAAGAAAAAGCTGACTTACTTTTCTCTCCCATATTTTCAATAGTATCTGCAGAGGAAAGAGAAAGAGAAAAGTAACTTTGTCTCTACAACTTTGTTAATGCTGTATGATTTGAATTCTGCACTGGCTATTATTGTATAAACAGTGGGTCAGAAACTCCTTGTGCATTTCATAGAAGGTCAGTGAGCAGCAGATGGTTCTCAGCACAGTTCTCTGATCGCTGTTGCTGTACGGAGACTCTTGATCAGATGCCCAAAATTCACTAGCTCATAACTGCATCTCTTCAACTGGTGTGCTTTCAGAACATTAAGCTATATTGTGGTGACAAGGTTAGAGATACTAACCACAACCACACAGGAAAATAGCTCAGTTTCAAAAACAAGATACAACCACCCTCACAGATGACACAGAAGGAACCGCATCAGTGACAGCTTTGTACCTTTTTTTTTTGAGAGTAAGCATATAGTTTCTTCAATAAATATCTAGTTCTTTAAGTTTACTGTGAAGTTGCAGTGTCCTAAAAGCCTCATTAGATTATCCTATTATTTAATGTGGTTGGGTTGCACTACTCTCTATCCAAAATATGCTCTTTGAAAGATGATAGTGCCTGGCACTAAAGTAAAAAACTGTAATTCCTCTGAAGCACAGAGCAGAAATGGAATCCCAGAATGCAGTGCATCTCCAAACAGATATTTTAATTGAGTATGTGTACCCTAGGGAGCACTCAAAAAGGCAAGTAAAGAATTACTGCAAGTCTGAGTACACATTATATACTGTAAAAAGGTCATTATCATAGCACCCTGTCATAGACCTTAGACAGGTGAGACACCATTTTAATTTAACACAGATGAAAATGAGGCTGTGAGGGATAGACTTAAAGTTTTAACAATGCATACGCTGTATAAAACGCCTAGATAACATTTCACTATGTGTTATGGAGACTGTGTTAACTATACGTTTTTTGTTTTTTTGGAAAGACATTTGTCAGCTGAATAATCTGTATGTTGTTAAACAACTGTACACTCCATTAAAGGGCACCTAATATGCCCCTATTTACAAGATACGTCTCAGGTGTCTCTAGAATTTCAGCTCAAAATACCCCACAGATCATTTATAATATCATTTTGAAAATGCCTATTTGGAGTGGAAGCAGAAACACGCTGTTTTCATGCCTGTATCTTTAATTGAGCTGCTTATTCCCCGCCCCTTTTCCAGGATAGGACGGTGCCTTTACAGCTAGCACCTCAGATACTCTGCTAAAAAAACATCTGTTTTGTTTTGATTATCATGTCTATCGCGCTGAAATCATGTGTTTTATAGCCATATCAGTTTAAACCTTTGATACATATGGTTTTCTGAATGCACGCGCACAGAAAGCAGCTGTCACACGGCATGCAAGTTACTAAACTAAGTTCTCTTGCATGTCTTATTGCACTTAAACGGTCAAATACACACAAGTTTATGCAAAAAATTAAGTGAAAGCAGCGCAATACACAGTACCTACTGCTGTCTACGCTGTTAATATGACCCAAACAATAAAATAACAACGGAAAACCACTCACTGCTCTAGACTGAATAACTTTTGTAGCTTTAATAAGAAGACATTTCTTACTTGAGTGCTGCTTTTAAATGCTCTAGCATGCAGATAAACATGACGGATTGTGTGCGGCTCACTCAGGGCGGGGTGTCTGTCAACAGTCATGGCTTGTAAAATATGATGTCACTTTTTACAGATTCTGCAGACGGCTCGTTCTGAGACACTGCTTCTGATTTACAGGGGTTAAAAAAGGAGCAGGTGGATTTTTATCATTCTAGGGTGGTTGTGTACACACACTGGCACTGCCAACACACATTTATGTTCAACGAACATGTAAAAGTGAATTTTGCATAATAGGTGCCTTTTAAACACACTGTACTTCTATCCCTTCACAGCCTCATTTTCAATCCTGTCAGCTTGGTGCTACTCTTGACTAAAGTCTACTGGTATATAACCCTCTCCATTAGTGTAATAAAAATCATCAACAGATGACAAGATACATTATTAGCTATTTCAACAATTAAACAGTTTCTTTCCCTGAAGGTGTCAGTGTTGCTGTCTAAGAAATGTCAAATGTGTTTGTTGCTAAACTCAGTGTGCAGCACAAGTGATTTGACAGCAGAAATAGGTCAAGTAGAGATTGGTGAGGTTGAGTTTGACAGCTTGGCGGTGAGATTAGCTTTGAGACATAAGGATCAGTAGACAGTATGTTCATAACAACATTTGTCACCTAAGGTTCGGTAAAGACTCACTGACCTCTCATTACCATGGCTTGCTAAGATAGATGCAAAGACAGTATTAAAAAGTTAACGGATCTTTTAAACCAATACTGTTTGTAATGGTTTTGGCTATTCACATGCTTGTTGCAATGAGCCAACTAGATAATCCTACTGAACCAATGCAAACTAGTAGCTTTCAAATTCAGACAATAAAGCCTTCATGGTTTTCATTCGGTCATCCTGGAGTCAAGTGCTCAGTTTGAGTACAAAGCAAGCATACGAAGACCCACTGTTTGTGGTTCAGCATAAACTGGTATGAACTGCCAGTGGGAACAGCAGTCAGAGTGAGGCCTGGCCACTGACGCTTCACTCAGTGAAGTCTCTGAGGAACATCACAAAGCTGCTGTTTTATGCACAAATATTTGAATGTCATTTGATTCTATTAAAAGGAGTTCAAACACACAAACCTTTAGTCTTCAGTGAAAAACAGGGCATCCTCATGATCATCCACCACTCAAGAGAACAATAAAGCCTCTTCATGCTGTTTTTATGGGACCATGATAGCAGATGTTATCAAAGGAGTGAATAATGTTCTGAAGTTAATGTGAACACAAACCTTTGCTTGTTGCGCACACATAAATAAGCCACAGTCTAAACAAATGACACAGTACATAAAGTTTGAAGATATTGTTTACAGTTGTTTACAGCAACAAAACACTGTCTGGGAGAGAAGAAGTTTTTTTATGATGGTCTTAATGACTAACATGGAGTAGCTATAGAGTAATGCCAAATTGCTATATAAAGTATTGTATATGGGTCAGTGACAACATGCTTTTTTGACTGGATGTAGGAATACATTGCAGTTTCTGAATTATTACTAGTATTCTTAATATTTGTGGGGCATAAAGTAAAAAATGTGGTGTTAACTGTCCTGAGATTGCAACAAAAACATTTTCATTAAAAATGGTATTATTATTTATTTTAAAAATTTGTTTTAAATTTTCTTAATATTTAAAAGACTGTCCAGCAATTCAAAGGTCAATGTGGCATAACCAACATGAAGAAAGCTATTGTCGTCATATGACAAGAAAACCATAAAACAGAGGCTGGACCCTACACTTGAGTTTGTCTATTGTTTTTAAAGAAGTTTCTTCTGCTCATCAAGGCTGCATTTATTTATTCAAAAATACAGAAAAAAACTGTAATATTGTAAAATATTATTAAAATTTAAATCAGCTGTTTTCTATGTGACTACATGTTAAACTAATTTATTTCTGTGGTCAAAGCTGAATTTTCAGCATCATTACTCCAGTCTTCAGTGTCACATGATCCTTCAGAAATCATTCTAATATGCTGATTTATTATCAATGTTGGAAACAGTTTGTGCTGCTTAATATTTTTTTGGAAACTGTGATAATTTTTTCAGGATTTTTTGATGAATAAAAAGTTAAAAAGAACAGCATTTATACAAAATAGTTAACTACTAATAAACTACTTATTCATGACTTCAAAAATGCATATTTGTAACATCAGAGAAACAGAGACTAGATAGATAGATGTGTTTGTACTTTTTATTTGATGCTTTTTAAATAGTATGTTTTTCCAAAATGTATGAAACTAACAGAATACAAATATTACATTTTTAGGAACTTGGCTTATGTATTTTTAAAAAGATCCTTTTTTTAATCTCACACATGCATCCTGATCCTTATTAGTCACTGACCCATATATGTTTCCAGTTTTGTAGTTAAGATGCAGAGACATGCTTAATATTATATTAAGGGTTCTCATACAAACACTTTCAGAAACACATGCACATATAAAGAGAGAGGTTAAATAAATTCATCTCATACCACTTGACACTAATCATGACCCACTCTTAGTAGGTATGTTTATAAGCAAATGGACTCCCTCAATAGCAGAGACATTGCTCTAGTAAGAGAAGCACACATATGCATAGCACATGGTCGAAGCCAGGTGTTATTTATTAATTCTCTCGCCGTTTCACTCCAACTTCATTCAGAGAGCTGCTTCCAGTCTTACCTATGCAGAGCTGCACTACATAAGCGTAGTAGGACCATGCCACGATCAGACTGATGAACAGCACAGGGATCCAGTATAAAACTCTCCAGCAGTCAACGCTACGCGAGCCCGACGGCGCCATCTTTCTATTTGATGACCAAAAGTGTCTAAAACGACAAGTTCAGCCTCACCGAGCCCGCATTGCTTCTAAAACATCATATCGTCTTCCGTGTACAGCTGTGCTTCGTCTGCTCCTCCATCCTCCGGTCGCTCTTGTTTGTAGTGTAGCACATCGGTACCGCCCCTTTCTACAAACTTACACGACGCTCACGCGATGCAGTGGAGGTGTTACTACACTAAAGCCTGATTCTGCCGGCTTGTATCATCACCATAGGTTTGTCTGCTATAATTTAGAAAAGGTTTTCTATATCTAGTATATTTAAAATGTTACTGATACCGCAATGTGTCCTCACACTACAAAATAGGATTAAAAATGTCACACCAGACCAGCGTTCAATAACACTTTACAATGTTACACTATAATTAAATAATATAGTGATAAAAATGTGTGAATACACATTAAGTAGTTCATTTTCTGCTGATATAAACAGCTTAAACAAGCCAAAGCCGGGTTGCTTGTCTGAGGAACCCCGAAATCTTTTAATGGCTTCATCGTGTTTAAATAAACAGATATTAATAATAACACTGTAGGTCTATTAGTTATAGACATGTCTTCTGACACAAGCAACCATTCCATGGTTTTACTACAAATAAAACCAAAAACCATGGTTACTACCGTTAAACCATGGTAACCACAAATTAACCATGGTTTGGCTACACTAACCATAGTTCAACCATGGTTCAACCAGTTTGTAGTAAAACTTTGGTTATACAAATGGTAATCAATATACCAAAAAAAAACATGGTTACTACACTTTTAATACAGTAAAACCATGGTTAATTTTTGTAAAGCACAGACCAGAAATCGTGGTTTTTACATTTATTCAAACCTTATAAGCAATCTGAATACTAATGCATAAAAAGTATACTTTACATAATGGTAACGACAGATGCACACTTTAATATAGAAGTCAAAAAGACTGAAAAATACGGTTTTCATTTCTTTTACATGAAATAGATAATGAAATAAGCTATTTTAGGTTTTAAAGCTCTAAAACATGGCCTATATTCTGTAGAAAAGCATGGTAGGTGAGACTGGAGCTAATTGTCACACACGGCAGTTATCACAAACGTTAATAATAAAACAAAGTTTTGAGTAAAAGGTCCAGATAAACAAATGCATGTTGTCCTGTTTTATGTTGGTTCAAAACTGTCTTAAAATAGATTTTTTTTTTTTTTTATTGTATCTTATTTCCTGGACAATAATGGTGGTAATGTTCAAAAGCTTTTTGTTGCCAATGATTTAAAATATCTGCACAGAAAAATAAACACCCTGAGAATTATTCACTAGTGTAATGTGTGACAACTAGCCCTGGCCTCCCCTATATTACTTATGACAATGATAATAAAAACCGCACACTGTAATATGCTTAATCACCTAAAAGAACAATCAGAAATAACTTAAGTCTAAAGCACTGTCAGAATTCTGAAGATAGGTCAGTTAAAACCATTATAAAATGATTCACAGAGATGGATATCATATCTCTAAACCTACATGAAACCAGGCCTGATTAGAGTTCAGTGGGATTCAGTGTCTTCTCGTTTGTTGTTTTGGCTTCGCAAGATGTTTCTTAAAGGAGCAGCAGTGTAAGAAACTCATGAAAGAGGTGGAGAGAGGGATCTGTATGTGTAGCACATTGTGAGATTACTGAGGACTCATTATTACTGTGTGCACTCAGCACTGTCAGACCCTGTGTAAGCTGATCTGGGTGGTGGGCTCAGAGAAACTATGTTAGCAACGTGCTCATTGTAAGGAAAGATTATCTGGCTTATAACTCCTAGAGAAGCAAAAAGAACAATGCATTGCCAATACAGAACTACAGAGGCATTAAAACCCAAGAGAACCTTTTCTTTACACAAAATAGATCAACCAATAGAATAAATAACTGTACACGCCATAAGAATTCAGCACTTTTCACTTCAACACAGTTCCCTTTAAACTTATGAAGTAATATGTCATCATAAATAAAGACACTACTTTGTAAATCATTAAACAACATAATTTATCCCAAAATGTGGGCACTGGACCCATTTAAATTTATAAGAACTTTAATAAATAACTCTTTGATTAATAAAAGTATCATGGCTATTTCATGTTAATGGCTTTTAAAGAGTTCAGAAAGTGCCAGCCGAGTGACAAAGCTGTGACGACAGTCTAGGGAGGTAGCATGTGTTAATCTAATTATGGCAGTATTTGTATCTTACAGAGTTTGACACAGGTTAGGTAGATAATTGCATCGAGTCACTGAGAACTTTAATCCAACTTGAGATTTCTTCAGTGTGATGTGAGGGTGAAGAGAAACACTCAGCGGGACCTTCGCCTGCACAAATCAAAGACATAGAGACGAACGGCCTATCAAACGATGATTTATTTACATCATAACTGAATCCAACAGGTGATACTTTCAATACAAAGTGCTTTATAAAAATAGCAACACCTGTTTCTTTCACTCAAACTGCAAATATTCCCACAGTAAGTCTAATTGTTCCGTTTTTAGGTGTTTTATAGTGTTAAGCCTTTTTCTTGTGGGTTGGGCACTGTATTCTATTACTGTGTTAAGTCCTAATACACTGTGTTAGGCTGGGATCTTGTGTCTCTGGATAGCAGACATTAATTTTACCGAGTAATCTGATACTGGAGAAAGAGCTTTGGCTGAATGCTGAGCAGTGCTAGCGCTGTACTTCAGTATCATTAATTTGGAATTCTCCAAG